TCCTGGGTACACGCCTGGGAGTCCTCCAAGGACCACGGCAGATTTGGCGCCATCGTGTCTCTGAACAAGCACAGTGGGGTGTCAGGTGTTTGTCGACATCCACCGGGCAGGCTTGTTCTCGTCCTGCACACAGCGGAGCACTGTGGCTCCCTGGTGACCCCAGGTTACCTTCTCTGCATCACCTTACGGCATGTAGAGCTTGGAAATTCACATGCGTTGCCTGTACTTCATTTGGGCATCGTCTTCCTTCCTATCTCAAATAATCACCCAGGAAATGACTTTTTTTCTTTTCCTTTTTGGAGGATGTTCTTTCTTTTGTTTTGTTGAGCCCTGCTTGCTGCCACCAAGCTGCAGCCCCCCACAGCCTGCTTGCTTTTCACTCCATGCGAGACCTTGCACCCACCTCACATGCCTGCCCTGCTTCCCAGCCTGCGCTGCTGCGGTACGGGGGTTAAGAAGCTGTGTCTGCGTGCTCCTTAGCTGCTCTCTTTCCTGTAAACCTTGCCAAGGCTTTTGCTGGACCAAGAGGAGACCCCTGCCCTTGCTCCGCTGTTGCAGAAGGTCCTGTTCTAAGCAGTAGCTGTTTAGTAATTGCTGGCTTTCTGGCCGCATGCGAATTAGCCCTGGCGCCTGAAGCACGTGGCCCAAGAGTGCGGTGCCTTGGGTTCTTTTCTGTTTGTACAAGACGAGGGATGTGCTAGAACAATTCCCGTTCTTGGGTCCTCCCTCCAAAGCGCCTTCTGACGCCTGGTGTCCACCTAATGACATGGGCGTGAATGGGCCAAGGAGTTCTGTTTTAGGGTTTTTTTTTGTTTTTGTTTTTGTTTTTTTTTTTTAGAAAATGCTGTTTTATATTTGGTAAACAGACTTTTTAAAAGTGACTTTTTAAAAAGAACTTGATGGTGTGCTCGTGAGGTCTTACAGTTTGGGGATAGCTTGAGAGCTGCGCCAACGGTGAAGTGCCTGTGGCAGTCATGCACACAAGCGTCCTGACAGTGCCTTCAGATACTATTTTGTGTGGCAAGAACAGCTAAAATTGAGCTCTTTAGCCAAAGACTCTTTTACTAGAACACCGTGATGTATTTATGGCCCTCGCCCTGAGGCTTTGGTCTGTGGACTTGTTCCTCCCCATGCTGCCCCACGGGGGTCCCAAGAGCTTTTCTCCCAGCACTTCCCACTGTTTCTCACTGTCCTTCAGATTCTGCTAAATTAAATAAGCCAGACACAGAAAGGAAAGCGTCATGAGCTCATTTATCCATGGAATCTAGAAAAGGAAGAGACATTTCTAAATCGAGCTTATTGCAACATTTCAGATATGCCTAGTGATCCCATCCATCACAGGGAATCTGCATGTGCACGTCATATGCCTCCTTTTTTTCTTGTCCCCTCCCATCATCTCTTTAGTGACTCTTCCCTTCTGTACCTACAAAATCCTCGGTTCCATCATTCCCCTCTACCCTTTCCTTCTCTCCCCTTCCCTTCCCGACGCTCCCTTTCCTAGTTCCTTCTGTGACGTAGGTGTTTCACAGCATCGATTGTGATACATTTTGGCCCTTGTTATACTTCAGCTTCCTCTGCCATAGAAACAGTGCAATATTTACACGTGTGTGTCCCCTATATTTCTAAGAGTATGGTCTCAAGGTGCACCCACTTATTTAGAAATGTCTCAAGCTTATCTTTCTTTGTGGCAAAGTAGCATTATTCCATTGCATATTTAAAAACTCACACCTTCTTTATCCAGTCTTCACTTGATGGGCATCAGGACTGTTTCTAAGATTAAACTACTACCAACTGTTCTGTCACATACACATGTGCACGTGTCGCTGTGGTATGATGCTTTCAGTTCTTTTGAGAAAACACCAAAAAGAGAAAAAGCTGGGTCAGATGGGATCTCCAGTCCTAGCTTTTCAAAGAATCTCCACACTGATTTCCATAGTGGTTGTACTAGTCTGCACTCCCTCCAGAAGTGGAGGAGGAGGGCTCCTCTTTCCTCACAGCCCTTCCAGCATTTATTATTGGTTGATTTCTTGAGAACAACCATTCTTTCTGGAGGGAGATGGAACCACTGTGTTGTTTTAATTTGCATCTCTCAAACGACCAGTGATATTGAACATTTTTTATATACTTATTTGGCCTTTGTATTTCTTCATCTGGGATGTGTGGCCTATTTATTTCAAATGCCCACTTTTGGACTGGGGCTTTAAATTCATGAGGATGTCGTTTTGTTTTGTTTTGTTTTGTTTTGTTTTGTTTTGTTTTGTTGAGTTCTTTATATAGTTTAGATATGTGTCCTTTATTTGAGGAACACCTTGCAAAATGTTTTCCTCACTCTGTGGTCAACGGAAAGTTTTCACTGTAAAATCAGGTACAAGACAAGGATGTCCACTGCCAGGACTCCTATTTGATACACTTTTGGAAGTGTTAGGAGGCCAATTAGTCAAGAACAATGCAAGGAATAAAGCTAGGAAGGAGAAAGCTAACTCATCGCTCTTTATGGGGACACTTTTGAATGTCACACTGAGCACTGACAAACACAACGTCAAAGGGAGCTTCTGCCTTTTTCTTGAAGCTCCCTAGAAAGCCTGAAGAGGGTGTGGTCTGGTGGCCCTCTCTGGAAGGCATTGTTCTTTTCTGTCAAAAAGTTCATTGAAGTTGAATAAAGAGATCGCAATAAAAGCAGTCAGATTTAGAACGTTCTCATGGGTTAGTAGTTATTTGGCGGATTGAATGCTCACTGAAATTGATTGAACGCTGCTGAGAAGCACACAGCGCCCTGACATGAGGGACTCATGGGGGCCAGTGCTGAACGCATGTTGTCCATGTGCACGCCTTTCCCTGGCACTTGGCTAAGGAGGGAAACGTACGCTTGGATAGTGTCTTCCCGTGCTGAGAGACTTAATGATTTTTCATGATGAGCTCCAGCTGAAAAGAGAATGCTCCTTAAACTGGCAACAGGGTGAACTTATATTGTCAGCGAGTGTGTTCCACTAGCCTGTGTCCCTCTGCTGCTGTGCACGTAGCACAATACGTTCTGTCTCATGACACGCACCTTCTGTGACACACCTGTCCTCTGGAGGTTAGTCCCTGGACACCCAGCACATGCCAAGATCTGGGATGTAGAAGGGGCACAGGAGTTGCAAGCCCACTACGCACACCTTCCTGAGTATGCTTTCCACATCCCCAGGTTCCACATACCATCTAAGCTCAAGGTCCTTGCTGTGGAAGTCATGGCTCTGTTGCATTGTGTGGGGGAAGAGACAGAATAGAGCCTGTGCATCTTCGACACAGTTGCATTCTTTTCCTCTAGTAGCTTCAGTTTAAGTGTTGGAACGCACAGCTACAACCACACGGAGGTCAGCCAGCTGCGCTCTGAGGATGGCTGTCCAGGGCAAGTAAGGGCTCTCCACCCAGTTAGGATAAAGCTCTGAGTCTCAGGCTATAGAGGACCTTTGTGCAGGAGAGCCTTCTTGCTTGGCCCGTTTGTGGAGTAACTGTGTTACTACCTGGAGACCAAAGCTCGTACCCCACTACCTTTCTATGGCTGCTGCGCCCCAGGATGTATCTCATCTCAACAGAGATGTGCTGCGTGTGTAAGGGTGCACACCAGCACGTGAAGACTCAGGCCCTGTGGAAATAATACAAGATATCTCCTGGTAATATTGCACTGGTCAGAGGCTAAAATGATACCATTTTGCTATATAGGTTAAATAAAAGATAGTGTTAATATTAGCTGGCTTCTTTTGTTTTTACTTTTTTACTGTAGCTATTTATGCATTTTGTATTGTTTTGTTGTGACAGTGTCTGCCCATGTGGTCCATGATGACCTTGAATTCAGTATGGATCCCAGGCTGGCCTCGAACTCTGTGATGACCCACCTGTTGGCCTCTGTGGCTAGGATTTCACATGCACCGCCACACCCCGCCTCAGTGAGACAGTTTGGGACCTGTGGCTGTGTCTGTGGCTTGTGCTGTATTCTTGCCTGACTACAGTAGTCAAACGTGGCTCAGAAAATCTTCAAAGATTGACAGCCTTGATATTTAAGCACAGTTTAAATAAATTCACACACTGTTCTTTCATTTAGAAATGCTTGCATGTTTTGTTCATTTTTGTTCTTCTTCCTAGCTTAGCAAATAACTCCTCCCAGCCGCTTCCTGGAGGGTGTTAGCTCGACTGCACCTCAGGGTCTCTTGGGAATGTGCAGCTCATTCTGTGGACTTATTTTTACTTTCTTACCCCACGTGGACACCCCTCTCTGACCATGTTTCTATCAGTAAAGTATATGCGAGAGCTTGCACTTACTTAGATCCCACGTCAACATCTGCAATGGTGTGCTTTTCTTAGATTCAGAGTGTTCTGAGGTGGGGGAAGGAAAACAACTTCTTCCTCTGTCCTCAGAGATGGTCCTGTCATTATACACCAAATAGTCTGTGGGTAACTCTCCTCTGAGTGAAGTCGCTTTATTCTTCTGGCTTGCCGTTGCCCACCACGATAGACACCACCAGTGCACTCAGCACAGGCCTGTTGTTTATATGTTGTTGCTGTTGTTAGTACTATTATGTTAATGTACTTGGTTGGTACAGGGTCTCACTATGCAGCTCGGACTGTGATGATCCTCCTGCTTTCAGCCTCCCTAGCGCTGGGTTTACAGGCCTGGGCCACCACGCCCAGACTCTGGCCAGCTCAGCCTGCCCTGGGAGTGGGGCTGACATGGCATGTGGAGCTGGGGATCAAACTGTGTGATTCCTGAGCTTGCCTAAGGAGGTGCTTTAGTCCATTGAGCCATCTCACGGGCCACAGACCTGTTGTTTATGACTGCACTTTTGGCTAATGTAGTTTGTAAAGTAGTACTTCAGAGAAAGAAAAGCTACAGCCCCTTCTATTAAAAGCATATGGAGAATTTGCTGTTGCTCATTTGTATCTATAAACTCTCCCTTTGTCCTTTTTAATCTCTAACATGATCTCCCTTCTCTGCTCTAAACTGTGGGCTATTGCATGTTCAGGATGACGCACGCCAACTCTTTGTACTTGCGGGAGCCGCCGAAGAAGGTTTTATGACGGCAGAACTTGCTGGAGTTATAAAGAGATTGTGGAAAGACAGCGGCGTGCAAGCCTGTTTCAACAGATCCCGGGAGTACCAGCTGAATGACTCTGCCGCATAGTAAGTATCCTAATCTCAGCACCGTCAGGACAGTGACGTGCAGGGCAAACCCAGCCGCCAGGTCATTTTGGTTGCAGAGTTGGCTGGCATGGTCACGTACAACACAGGGTCTTTAGGGTGGCAATGTGTGACAACTTTCTCTGTCCTTTGTGTGCTTATAGATAGTGGCACTCTTATTTCCATGTGTATTCCACTGTTTGAAGAGCTCCATCCATATGTGAGTTCTAATGGAAATTCGCAGAACAGGAACATTCTTAGTGTATTTGCAAGACACACCTGAGTGCAAGGAAATTCACTGTGACATTGAATGGGCTTCCTTTCATCATATGAACGGGACCTGTTCAGTGACTGATGACTACAGTTGGACCTTCTGAAGACACGCATGGATACCGCAGGATATTTCCTAAGTGAAGTATCTTTATTCTTGAAACTTGTCAGGGATGAGTGCCCAGTGGCATTAGACACTGCTTATAGGTAATTAAGTGCAGATGTTTGGAAATCTGTCCCAATTAGTCCCGGAAAGTTTGTCAAACAAGTTGTGACAAAACCCAGCCAGAGTTCTGCTTAGTGGCTAATGGACAACAGTAATACTTTTTTATTTATTTTTTTTAAAGGAAGTATTTTTTCATAGTTTGGCCTACAAACAAAAATGTGCCGGATATTCCTGACACAGCATTAATCATTGTTTAAAATGAGTACTGTGCTCTACTAATACTTCGGAGCGTTGTTCTGTTTTGTGGACAGAACCACTGTGTTGTAAGAACAGAAGTGAGGGTTTAATAGGCCCCAGGCATTAGTAGAGCTCTGACTTTCTTGCAGTGGAAGACACAGATGCGGGGCATGGGCCTGGACCTCAGCGCTCACCACTGGCTCTGTGCTGTGCATGCACCTTTTCTGAGAGAGTAAAAGCACGCGTCATTGTTCTACCCACAGAAGTGTTTACAGCCCTTTTTTAACCTTCCCTCTTAATGTTGTATGCTTCTGCCAGCGTTATTACATAACACTTAAGTAATAAGTGGATCACATTTTTATGATGAACCAGGCAGGGCAACTAGTGTCATCCATCCTGCGAGGAGGTACTCTTTCGCCACAACCCTGCACATTTGGCAAAGTCTCATTTCTTTTTTTTTTTTTTTTTAGTGTCTGAAGGTCCCACAATTTTATTTTTTTTAAATATTAATCTTATTGAGAAACAAATAGCAATGAGACAGTTTCAAAACTGATTAATAGGACAGTTTCAATAATTAATACATTGCATATTGTTGTCTTTGTAGTGGTTATTCATAGTACAAGATGCAGACATGATATCCTGTCCAAACACTATCAGTACAAATCTTCTTATTGAATTAAGAGAAAGTCGCTGTATATCTATCCTATTTTGTATATACAGATGCACAATGGTCCTTCATTTGTATCCCCCTTTTTTGTTTAGTTTTGTCAGAGATAGGTATTCCATTGCCATTTAAATATTGTAGGTGCATGAATTCAGCAAAATAATACAATATAGTCCAGGAGTCCATAATAGTAGTGGGTTATCCACAGAACTGACAATGTCAGAAGTTGTTGACTTGAGCCCTTTGCTGGATGGTTAAGACCAAGATAAAGCAAGACCTATATAACAAGAAATGTAACTCTTGTGTCTGAACAAGTCAGTCAAATCCCCTCAGGATTTACCCTGAAGCCCTGTGCCACAGTTTGTAGGTCCTTTGTCAGTGTCAGCCATGTGGATGAGTCATGGCCATGTGGATGAGTCACCAATTTTTTCTCCATGTGACTCACCTTAGGCACACTCTACATCATCGATCACTTTCCTCTGTGGTCCCATAATCTCCTTGATCAGAAAGTTTGGGACATCACGGAGTTACAGGATGTTACAGTACAGGTTCTGTTTATGTCCTGAGTCCTCACTGACCTTGAAAGGCTAGGGCCAAAATGTTGGCTGTCCCTGCAGCCTTTCTTTTTCTCTAATTTTTTTTTGTCTGCAAACATAAGTTGTTAACCTTCCAGAAGAGAAGCTTGATGATATTATTACCCTATATAATATAGGCAGCTGAGCTTAACCTCACTATCTGTCTTAATATCAAACATCTTAGACATAGCATGGAACAGGTATTTTCCATCAAGTATTGATATGTTAAACTTTAAATCCCTACAGAATGTGAAGAAAGAAAATAAATAAATAAATAAATAAATTTCAAAAATTTGAAATAAACAATTACATATTTTTACACAGAAATTTAGAAATCTAACCATATACAACATTATAGCAGGACAGTCCTATGACATTTTTTTCTTGTTTCTTGTTTTCATTTACTACGCTTTTTTTTTTTTTTTACGACAAACATATACTTGAGAGACAGTATAGCGGTAATTGATATGACATGACAAGCAGTACGTATTCAGAAGAGGTGGTGTCTGATTCTGACCAATCGTGTATGCGTGCCATTACTGTCCTTACTCCAGGTGATCTCCTCTAACACTAAATAAAGGGGCGGGACTTCACACAGGGGAGCAAACACAGGAGAAAAATTACACAGAAAAAGCACACAACTTGCCAGCGTATTGTCTGCGTTGGCAACTCCAGCCCCTGCAGAAATACCAAGCTGAATCACTGTTGCTGCAAGAAGGTTGCTTCCCGCTGAGCTCGGAGAAGGGGCTGCTCCTGGACCGAAGCGTGGCCCCTGGGGACAGCAGTGGGCCTCTCTTCATCAGCATGAGGTCCCCATCCTGTCCCCCAGTCTCTAGTCCAAGCCTGGCTCTCGCAGCACACTGTGGACACCAGCACGGAGATCAGTGTGTGGCTTTCACCTCCTGTTCTTTCACTCCTTGTCCTCGTGTTCTTAAGATATAGTGATGCAGCCATTTTTTTTTAAGAATGAAGAAAAAGTGCTGGCCAAACAGCTCAGCAGATTAGAGCACCTGCAAGCAGGCACAGGGGCTGGGGGTTCAATCCTCCTATGGCACAATTGAGATGGCAATTGAGACTGGGCGTGGTGGTGCGTACCTGTCATCCCAGCTCTTGGGAGGCTGTAAACAGGTGGATCGGTACAAGTCTGATCTAGTAGTGAGACCCTGAACACCCTGTAGACCTTTCCTTAAAATACAGAGAAAAGAATGAGGATAATCATAGCAGCCTTTTCTCCAGGATGGTTAGAGATCCTTGGTTTCCGAGTTTTCCTAGGGAGTAAGGTCCTGCCATGTGCTCATGTGGATGTCTGATTGCCAATTTGAAGCTTAAACCCGTGATTGTTTAAAACATGGGAGCTTTTCACAATGCCTTTTCTTAACTTGTTGAAATATAAAAATGCATTATTTTTAGGGCTTGTTAAAAACTATAGCCGTTTTAATAAAATGTATCTATGAGTAATCCGAACACATTTGAAAGACTAGCTATTTTAAAGGACCAGTAACATCTTGCTGTGGTTTTGTTAAGTCAGAATTTTTGCGGTGATGCACAGTGTCGTGTGTGGGATTAAAGGCGCAGAAGCAGTATTAGTGAGGCGACATCACCAGTGTGATAATATTTTTAAAATTGGTCGAAGCAGTACAGGTTGAGCATATCTGTAAAAGTCCAAAATCCAAAGTATTTCTGGTTCCAGACGTCTTGGATAAGGGACATGCGACCTGCACAGTAACCCAGGCTGCGGGCGCTGGGTCCTCAGGCTCCCACGCTGCACACCTCTGCTGACTGTCTCTGAAGCGCTGCTGCCATCTCAGCATTCCAGTTCCCCCCGTGACAGCTCCAGTACCTGCAGCTGGGTGTGCATCTGTGCTCCGGAGAGCTGTTCTCGTGTACATGAGAGGCTTCAGGTTGTTTTTAGCACCACGAGAATGACAACAACAGTAATAGTAACATGGGTCTTTTGTTTGTGAGACCCTGTTCTACATGGCTGAGCAATGTGTCTGGAGGCTAATTCTAATTGAAAGCTCCGCCAGTTGGTGCTGCTCTGCACATGAAGTCATTTCTTGCGTCTCTGGTCCGTCTGAGAACCGAGCACACCAGACATCATAGTGTGGTCACCAGACCACCTGGGGTGTCGGAGGGCTTCTCCCCCCCAAGTTCAGGCTGCTCCACAGCCTCCGCTAAGGCTACTTGCATCGTCTCCTTAGTGTGGGAGCCTGAAAGTGAAAATGAATCTGAAGGTCACAATAGACACTGAGAAAAGGGAAGTAACTTATTCAAAAGGAAAGAGTTACTGAGTTGAGCAGGACAGGAGAGGGAGTGGGGGAAGACATTTATCTAGATATGTAAGCGGGATGGTTTGCACAGCTGTACTGTGCATTTCTGCTGGTCTGTGGAAAGGAGCACTTAATGCTTAATTTGTTTCATCTCCTTTTTTTTTTTATTATTTCTCCCTTTTGTCTTCTTGATTTCTCATACATTTCTTGCTTCTTCCAATTACATACATTTATCTGGTAATATGGTAACTGGTTGGAAGACAACACTATGTATTTCAGCAAACACTGTGAAATTCCTATTACTTTGTTAAGTGAAAATCTGTATCACCTGTAATTTTTTGTTTTAATTCTGATTTGTACTCTCTTTAAAAAATAAAAAAAATTAGTAAAAATTAAAAAAAAAATGACTGCTCCACACTGCATGACAGCTTCCCAGGAGGATGACAGTCCCTCTTCTTCATGTTGTTGCTGTCTTTTCCATTCATACCTGTCACTATCCACAAATCTTTAACCACTCCATTCCACACCAATTCCTCCATACCTTAATTTTCTTTTTCTTTTTCTTTTTTTGGTGTCAGGGATCAAACTCAGGACCTTGTGTTTGCCAGGCAGACCCTTATGCCACTGCACTGTCTCCCCAGCCATCCTCCTGACTTTCTTAATTGCCTCTACCATTTAGCTTGACCCAAAATAATTTGCCTTCTTTCACTGCATGGTGTGCCAACATTGCACGCTGTCTCACAGCAGACCTGGTGAAGCTGGCAAAGAGCATTTGCTGAGTGACAGCAGTCACTGGGAAACGAAATACAGGCGTGGGGCAG